GTTGCTCCTTTTAGCCTAAAAAAATAGTAAAATAGTAATTTGATTGTTTTGCTGATGAAATTTAAGAAATGGTTCACCTACTTATTTAAAATATTTTTCAATATTTGCTGGTCATTCTCAAATGTTCGCAAACAACTTATTTGATCCGGTCAGCGATTATTTTCGTCTGACCAATTTAATAAGCTCTTAAATAGACGACCACAATGCAGCCAGAAATCATGCATACAAAACGAATTGGAGTGCCATCATGTGTATATTAATTCGCAGCTGGGGGCGCAGGGAGTTCACTTTGAATCAGACTTAATTTCGAATGCACACAGAAAGTGCCAAAACGCAACGAAAACACATTTCGCTTCGGTGAGCAGAAACCGTCAAAATGTGACGAGCGAAAAAATATTTCAAAATCAAACGAGCGCCAAAGCAAACATGTCTCTTTTTTTTTGTGGTTAAAGCTATAAGGCGGCCACCAGATCCCAGATGCGACATTCGGTCAACAAGAGAAGCAAAAACAAAATACTCGAATGGCTAATTAAAAGTTTTGCAAATGCATTGGGGAGCCCATAAAAATGTGCGCACATTCTGAGTGAGGCATCAAATTTTAGTGCAGGCAACAACAAAAACAACAATGGCATTGGTCAGCATTATAATTAAATACATATACGAGTATGTATGTGTGGATGTGTGGCGATATTACGTATACGCACCACAAAATGCGCCGCAAGAGAGAGCGTCAAAACACTCAAAACTAAACCGCAGAACCCTCAAGCACCCATGTTGGTGGCCAAATGTCTGGCGCCCAAAAATATGCACAACAAACACTTCAAAGTATGCAATGAAAAACACAAAGCCAGGCAAGCAAGCATCCTGATTTGGTTTGGTTTGTTCTGCACCCACCTTGACTCTGGTCTCTGTGGAAAGCCGACGAAAATAGCCAGCATACACCCACACACTCACACACTCGAGCACGAGCACACATGAGTGCATAAAATGTTGGCAGATAAGCAACCGCAATGTCGGTGGCATCATCAGCATCGGCATCGGCATCTGTATTCGCATACCGCACTCTCAACCCCAAAATTCATATCCACATTCACAGTCGCAGCCACATTCACGTCCACATCCACATCTTGCTGCCCACATCTGCAACCCGAGCATAAGCAACATTCTCACATTTAATTTCCGAGCAGCGTGTGTGACACTTTAAATATTTCCGCACTCGAACAGCCACTTGGAGTCTCGTTGGCACGAAATATACGAGAAAATGCGCGCTTACCCACATATTAGAGGGATGCACGAGGGGAGTAGAAACGGGAAAGTCAACTCTTTTCCAACTCTTTTCACATCTGCTCAGGCTTGCGTGTAGAATTCATCAGTTTGTCACATTTAAAGAATCGTTTATATGAATCGCATTATAAATAAATCCTGAACAAATGAACATAAGTACATAAGAAGATTTTATTTAATTGACAAATCAAAAAGCAAACAGAAACCAAAAAAGGTTGTTGAAAAGGTTATTTAAAGTTTGCCACACATTTTATTTGAAATTAAGTATCAACTCTTATTAAACTTATTTAAGGTACGAAGTGTATGCAATATGTACATTTTTTCCCTTTTTTTTCTTGTATGAAATATAATACTTTTGCTCAAACTAGCAACGTAAAAATAAAATGCTGCATTTTTTTAAATTGCTTAAATTACATTCAAAATCGATACCCCATAATTCTTCGCTGTTAATATTGTTTTTAGCTGCATTCTTTAACATATTTGAGTCATACCACCTCGTTTATGCCCCATAGACTTATCTGCAGCTCTCTAATACGCTTTAATGTAAATGTGAGGCCAGCTCTTGCTGCTGTTGTCAGAGCTGGTGCATGTTACGTTTCCTGTTTTATTTTTCCATGTGCTCCACCAGTTTGTAATGAATTTGTTGAAGAGTTTGCTAATGAAGTCTGCAAATAAAATGCAATTTAAATGAAAATTGCATTAAACAAGAATGGCGATGGTAATGGAGTGTATAACACAGTCATGGATATATTTGCGAAAGTTTTTCTTACTCCCATTGGTAAATTTAAGACTTAAAGAATGTAAGTGTTAATGGAACTATTGCCTGCAAGGCCAGCAGCAAACGAAAATACAAATGTATACAATGTTTTCACTTAACATTTATTTAAAATGGTTTTGGAGGCGAGCTGAAAGATTTTTAAAGCATTTTTCAGGTTAGTGATGCACTCAAATTTAATTCTTTATTATGCTTTATTTAATTCCATAAGCACGACCTCTTCAATACAAGTATAAATTCTTTTTCATTTTATAAATATGTTTTCTCCGACACTTAGTTGCAAGCGACAAAGAAGCACACATTACTCAGAAAATTGGAAGAAAAAAATTGAATTTTATAATAAGAATAAGTCAAGGTTTAACTTTAAAAATATAATAATTGTCTATCTCAGGACAGAGTTTTTGATTAAATAAAAAAGTATTATTTTAAAATATTTAGAAATTTATATTGCCTCCCACATGGCTTAGCCATCGCTGTGCCCCCGAAAGTCAGCGAGTTAATATTTGTTTCCTTGAAAAATCAACAGTTTATTTATGACGATTACGCACAGACAATAGTCAGTCATTTGATACCAAATCGTTGCCCTGAGGGGTGCCAAGCGGAGCTAAGTCTGTGCTCGAGTGTCTCGGATTACATAACAAAATACGCAAATAAATACAATACACAGATACGTCTGTGTATATGCAGGTAGGAACAGGAGCTGATGGATCCATGATTTCTGGCATGTCTCTCCACATGAGTTTCGTTGACAAATACGCGAACTTATACAAATAAGAGCCAGCATACAAACATGGCCACATGTGTCTCCGCTTCAGCAACATTCTATGCGAAATTCCAACCGACATACAAGCATACAAGTACGATATACTGTATGCACGGGTATGTACGAAGACACCCGCGCAATGTGCTGCTTATAAGGACATCAGCGAGAGGAAATAAAAAAGGCAGCGCACATTTCGCATTGCACCTCGAGAGCGCCCTTACAAGTGGCATTCATGAGTGCGCACCCCTGTGGCGCCATGGGGTTGCTGTCTGTATTGAGGTCAAAGTGCATAACTTAAGTAGCCGACAATAAAATGCATAACACAACAGCGCAAAAAAGGAGGAAAATCCTGACTGAAAATGTGAGAAAATATGGCTCTATTTATTTGTATGTCTAAGCGCAGGCCAAGACGACGTTGAAAAACGCCTCCGGCGGCCATTTTCTGTATATGTAGGTGTGTAAGTGTGTACGTGTGTAGGAATAGAGGGGTGTGCTGTGCTGTGCTTGTATGTGCCTTGACTGCCACAACAGCTGCCAGCAAAAGGCCAAGTGTTGTGCTTGACACACACGCCCACACACAAGTAAGTAGGTACACCGGCAGGTTCTGCTTTTTGTGCGCTATAATTTCACGCTGAGTTGATTTTACGGCAGCGTCCATACACGACATCTAACAGAGGGCTTGTTTATATGCCACAATAATACACACATACTCGTATGTGTGTGTGTGTGAGTGTGAGTGTCGGCGAGTGTCTTTTGGTGAGGGGCGTGAAAGAATCTAATTAGGAAATTATAATGCCACTCTGGCACACTTTGATTATTTATGACAAATGTTGCCTTGTCCCTTCCAAGAAAATGCAAATGAACACTACAGTCGACAATGATACGTGTGTGTACGTGTGTTTCTGTGTGTGTGTATAGCTATTTCCTTTGCAGACATTCAATGATAATCTAATAATTAAAGCGTAACCCTGACAATTCAACTGAATCAAGTAGATTAAGCAAAGTGTGAAAGTGAGTAATAGACATTGATTGGCAATATCCAACTGCAAACTTTATTCTTTAACAGTAATTAAAAGTAAATGCAAGGATCATTATTTAATTTATTTTTTAATAAAGGTACTAAATAATTTGCCGCTCTGAAAAATATATAAATTATTGATTAACTAAGAAATCCTACTATTTCAGTTATTCTGATTATATAACACTAGCAGAGACAAGTTATATAAGCCCGAACATGCAGAACTTTTCATAACTTTTAAAATTCAAGTTAATTTGCTGCTCTGGCGTTTTTCCAAACTATTTACGGACGATTTTCATTTTCATAGCAATTTAATAAAGCCACAAATTTGTTAGAACACAAACCAAAAAGTGTTAAAGTTTATAAATATTTAAGTAAATGTTTAAATATTTAAGGCAAATTCATTCCAGAAACAGAAGTTGCGTGGGAATAATATTTTAAATCCAACAAAATAAAATTGTTTTTTTTCGCGTAATCACGGCTCAGTCAAATTCTAGCTGCTAGCAGGAAATAGGTAAAGCTAGCATTTTGAACGAAATAAAAATGAAAATGTAGCAACACTGTTATTAACTCCTTAACTGAATAATTGATTTAAATTGAGTTTGGATGCTCCAGGATTATGTATCATCAAATCTACATTTGCGGTAGTAATATTGTTTTATTTAATCATTACAAGTATGCACTTCATTACTATAAAAGCAATTAACGCTGGTTGTGCAAACTGTTTCCTACCTGAAAGGCGGAGGACTCTAAGTAGAATGGTTATGTGAATAAAGCATGCACATATTTATTTTCCCCACGAGCCAACTAACTGAATCCAGCTTGGCCCACTCCATTCATTAATTAAACTATACATGGTGGAATCAAAGGTTTCCACATAATTTGTTGGCTGTCTGGCAGCATTTGCTAAATTAAGGCCAATGGGCCGTGGTGTGTGTGTGTGTGTGTGTGTGTGTGTGTGTATGCGTGTGTGTGTGTGCATTAGCAGTAACTGCCAATAACAGAAATGAGCGGCATAATTAAGATTTGCAGTAAAAACGGCTAACCACACAAAGCGTGTTAAGCAGAAACATTGCGCATACGCCATGTTGGCTTGGTTGGCTTTTTTCCACCATTACTAATTTTATTGTTGTTCTTCTTCTTATATTTGGAATGTTCAGATATCAGGACATGTACAACAATCCGATTAATGCCACTAATTTGGAGCATCGTGACGTTGTGCTCGACATACTCTCCGATGCGCGTGTTGTGGGGCCATTGCTGCAAACAGGACTGTTCCACGCGGATGTGAATCGACGCAATTATATGTACGTTTTTGGCCATAACAGCGCCACAGGACCGTATGCAAATGTAAGTAGAGACAACAACCAATAGCCAAATATCCAGCATCCGGCATTTCGCCTGTTCGTCCTGTCAGCTCGTCAAATACCAATTCCAATTACGCTGCGCTTTTCATTCAAATGTTGTGCGGTTCGAATTTTGTTAAGCAAACAGCATGAGTTGGCATTTAATGGCATTTAATGGCATTTTATTTACTAGTAACCATCGTCAGCGTCAATGGCAGTCATTGTGATTGTGACTGTCGTTGTAGTAATACAATAAAGGACAATTATTCCCAACAATTTGGCGGAAAAAAACAACGACAAAACTTTTGCGTGCGGTCAGCACATTGGGTCATTGTATCATTGGCCTCCGTTTGGACTTTTTAGCAAAGCAATTCGCAAGTTTGCAGCTGTGTGCCATATGATCATCCAGCTGATGAACACGATAATGATGACCCCAAAGATGATGATGATTATTAGCAGCAGCTAGAGTTGTAGGAGCAAGACAATGAACTGCGCTTGAACCCTAAAAAATATCATCAGACCGAGGCAGGAATACAAAAATAAAAACACAACTTTTGTTTGGCAGACAACTAGACTTGGGGGGGGCTTCATTTATGGCTGCCGGCAAATTTGGGTTTGAGTGTTATTGTTTTTGTTGTTGTTGGTGCTTTCGCTGCTGCTGTGTCTGCGCCTCTTTCTCTTCTTTTGCTCGGCTTGTGCTTCTGTTTTGTCTGTTTGATGGCTCGGTTTGTTTTCGCTGCTTTCTTTGCCAGTAGACTTTATGGCTTTGTCATGCTTATGGATTTGTTACTGATTGCCTCTTTGTGATAGCCCTGAGAATTTTCTTTCTTTCATCGCTGGTTTTGTTGTTGCTTCTGTCACTATGACGCGCTTCGCAGCAGTTTAATGGAGGTATCGATTTATAATTGTAAGAACTCATAATAATAAGAGGTTGGTAAGTTGATAAAGATGATAAGCTTGCGGCAACTTAAAATAGGATTTGTTTCTTTGAAATTGGTTTTCTCTATAGTTTAGTTGCTTAGTAATTGTGAGATTACTTTAATCTGTTTATAAACAAAATCAGTAACAATGCAGCCGCCTAACAACATTACTTTGAATTTAAAAACAATTTTAAGTTTCAAGTCAAAGCAGAAACTATAAAGTTACATACATTGCAATAAAATGAATTTATTATTTATATAAAAAATCACAGTTTTTATATGGTTTTTATGAATTTTATGTGATTATTTTAATAACAATTAAAATGTCATTCAATTTGCTTATTTTTTAAAAAACATTCATTGTAACTTTTTTATTGGTTCTGCTTCAACTTTATATCTTTGGACAAGTAAATAAACAACATTATCAAATGTGAAAGGCTTTTTGAATACTCGTATTATCGTATGCCTCCCATTCAATGCCACGCTTTGGTAAATAAAGTTGTTCATTTTCTTTCGTCGTGAAAGCTATCAAATCAACAAAATAAACACATATACAACAGCATCTAGAAAGCCTCAAACAGCGAGTCATCTATGGTCAAAATTTGTTGCCAGCCAGCCACAAAAACAAAGAGTGCCAGACAAAAACAAAAAACAAAAATAACGACCGCAAAAATAATGAAGATGAAAACTTAAACACAACAAAACAAAAAAAAAGAACATTTAGTCGAAAAAAAATTATTATTTCGCATTATATTTTTGGCAGCGCCAGCTTAGCGTTAAGCGCATTTTTATAGCCACCGCACCATGGGTTCCCTCTACTCTTACCATTCCATCCCTCCCCCCTTCTAAGTATAACCACAACGAGCGACGCAACACAAAGTTCGGTGGTCATAAACCAACCGAAGCCAAGTGAAATAAACTACATAGAAGCCGAAATAGCTGAGGCAGTCGCCTCTACACGGGCCATAATGCATGGAAATGACTTTTTAAATGTGCACGAACGGCAACCTAAAGTGACAGCCATGCAGTAGCAGCAGCAGCAGCAACAACAACAACAACTGCAGCCACAACTACAACTACAACAACAAGTGACAAGAGCAACGAAAAACGATTTGTGGTAATCGCCGGGAGTGCAACAACTTTTTAATAGTTTGCAATTAAAGCATGAAAATAAGCCAGAAGAATGATGGAAATTATTCTCGAATGCAAACATATAGTATCTACGCTTTGCTCTTCATTTTTTATTATTCATTTTCCAGCGTAGCTTATTGAAAAACTTTTGGCATGGCAAAATGTCGCTTGGATGAGAAATTTTGCAAAGCATGCTTTCTGGCGTTTTGGCACCCCACACGGTGACATTTTTATTTATGTGCGTTGAGCGCATATGAAGACAAATGCGTGCAGTCCTTGCCGGCGACATATTTGAGCATATAAATTATGAAAAATTAAATACATTTAAATATTTAATGGCGGCGGCTGTGTTAGTGTCGCTGTGCGACAGCAAATTGCAAAGGACAAGTGCAAACACGGCTTGGCTGCTTAAGCAAACATGAAAGGGATCCGAGGGATATACAGGCACGGATGTGCCTACAAATTATTATCATTGCCAAGAGATTTCAGCATGTGCTAAGCGCACAATATGCCACGAGGCAAGCGACAAACGCACAATAAATGCACCTAAAGAAAATGTTTCCTTTTGGCAAAGTTATTGCAGAATAATTTCTTTCTCTGAAAAGAAACAATTTGTGTATCTATTACTATTCAAAATTAAATTTCAAAAATTCCTTGTGAAGGCATAAGCTGTCATTAGTTGAAACACAATGTAGCACTTTCCGGATTCAATGATGTCTGCTGTCAATACACCAAACTGAACTGTCGTGATGGACGGGGTTGTTGGCAGAATTCTGTGGACTTAGCTTGTCTCCAAGCCACCTGATACTTCGCTACACTCTGCCTTTGTAGGCTGCAAATCTGCAGTCCTGCTATTCAAATTGACAGACACTGGCCCACCTGCCAAGAAGAATACGTATTAAGATACCTGCCCTACGATTTCTCACGTCGCCACCTCAATCTGCCTATCACCGCCTCGTCACATGCACGACAGTTCAGCTGCATATCTATAGTGTCCGATTTTGTCAGATACTGCAACACATGCTTTGCAGCAGCCACATGTTCGCCATGGTGCTCTTGTTTCTCTGTGCCAGCTGCAAATTACTTCAACAATTACTGATTGATGTGCCTGAGTATCCTCAATCATTGAACTTCAATATTGAATGCCACAATATCCACCACCTCGATCGATGTGCATGCTAATAAACATTCTCAGAGACCATACGCAGTCCATACGCAATAATCTGAAAATTACAACTTCAACCTAAAATAATAAATAGAATAAATAAAAAGGATATCCTGGAGTTTCTTTGAATAAATTGCCTTTTCTTTTACAATTTAAGATATTATTTTTGCAAGGCCAAATCGATCATTTGCATCTTAGATATCACTCAATATTTCTCGCAGTGTACTGATGTGGGCGTCTGCAAACGAGCAAACAAAGCTATGAACAAACAAACACAATGCCGCAGCATTTTTTGTCTGTTCGCTTCTTCTCCCGCTTGACATTTTGTTCTTATTTATTTCGCTACTTCTTTCTTCACTTCTCTTTGTTGCCAGTTGAATGCGAAAATTTGTGCATAAACTGCGCTTGCACTTGCTATTTGGACTGTTTTCATGCCAACTTGATGCTTAAGCAGGCTGCTTACACCCACACACACTCCCACACAGATACACAGATAGCCAGAAGCTGACACTGAGAGCCAAAAACGCCCAAACTCAACACACAAAAAAAAAAACGAAAAAAAAAAACAGTCTTTTCTAGTCAGAGCTAGTCAGAGCTGAGTGACTTGCCTGGCGGACTGACTGAATGACTGAGTGAGTGAGTGACTCACTGAGTGAATGACTAAGTTGCTTGCTGCTGACTGTCTGACTATAGCCACTGGCATATTGCAAAACTTTTTGGCACATGTCTTGCATGTTTTGCATTAGGGCGCGGGTGCTGGCAGCTCTGACTCAAGAAGTGCAATGAAAATTATACAAATATCTGATATGTAGCGTTTAAAGTGTAAGCATTGCTTAGCCTAGAAAAGCTGGGGCTAAACTGAATGCAGCATTAAGAAATTCTGAGACAGCAAGTGAGAAAATATTTTTCTTTATAGACTTTTTGCTTTTGGCAATCTATAGAAATAACATGAAACAATTTACTCTTTCCAATTACCAATGCAGAAAGTTGAAATATTCCGGGCAAACTTTTTAACTACATTTCATTGGTAGATGTGTTGAACTTTCTAATTGAATAAGACAAAGATCGATGAGAAACCTTTGTAGTTTGAAGTTTATATTTTATATAATTACGAAAAATCGAATGCAATTAGGTTACTTTGGAAGTAGTTGTATACTTTTTTTTTCGAACTACAGAAAGAGTTCTGAAAATTAGTTTCAATATCATAAATAATTTGGTGATCGAAGAAGAATAAAAACTAAGTGTGTGCCTATCTTTATTATAGTAAAAAAAATAAGGTATTTAACTTCATTATATGTATAATTGAAGAGAAACTGATATACCTGTAAAAGATTTATGAAATTCATAATATGATAAATATACTTTTTAGCATTATTATAGAGGGTTTCATGGCATTAAAGACAATCTATAAAAAGTAAAGGTCACAATTACCATTTGGTTTCTAGAAAAGCCACATGCATGGTCCAGCAATTATGTTTATATTATGAAAAGACTTGTAAGAATGTATATCATGCTCAATGAGCATGTTTTCGCCTCTCAGTAGCTTCCAAGCCCTGTGTAGCGCTCGAGCGAAACAAATTGCTTTCGGCTTACTGCTTGTAACTTTCGTGTGCAATTTAATTTGACAGCTGGGAGCATCGAACGGAGCGACCACAAAAAGTTTTCCAAGACACGTTCTATTTCAATTGACCAATTTATAGAAAAATCACAAACTTAGAAAAAGAGAAAGGACTGCCCATGTACTGAAAACGCGCACACAAACACACATATTCCTTGTCGTGCTTAATAAATTTTACATATTAAATTCCTATGGGCGAGCAATTTTTCACGGCAGCGACAACTTCAAGCATTTCCTGGCTGTCCTTTTTTGGAGCCTTTTCTCATGAAACTTTCCTTTGTCGGCGCAGAGCGATGCACACACGCACAACGCGTTGGCCTAGACCGCACCCAGGCCCCAAGCACGGCTCCGATAAGAATACGAAATGAATGTTAGAGGAAGGAAAGAAATTTATGAAAATAAAATAAATATAACCGAAACTTAAATTTTATTTTTGAAGCGCAGACGAATATAAAAATACTCGTAAAGGAAGCAGAAACAGTGGCAAAAACTTTTTGACCGCAGCCAGAGCTCAGAATAAACAAGAAAGGAATGCTAAAGTCGAGCAGGCTCAACTCTTAAATACCCTGTACCACCCCACAAAAAAGTAATTAAATTAATTAATTAATTAAATTTAATTAATTAACTAAATTAATTTAATTAATTAACTAAATTAAATATAAAATATTCCATGCATGCATGCATACATTTACATTTACATCAGAATCGTGCCTTATGCGTGTTTGTGTACTTGTACATATGTATGTATGTGTGCATTGGGCCTGGTTATATGGCTATAACTTTCTTTCCGATCATTCTATCATAATGAGACTTGGTATACGGTTATATAATAACTAACCTAATGTGACTACCAAATTTTAGTTCAAAATTCCAAGAATTACGGGAGTTATAGAAAATCGTTAATAGGGTGGAGTGGGGGGTGGATCAGAAAAAATGATCAAACTCGCCCTTTCTCGGTCTCAGGAGAATCTGTATACCAAGTTTGGTTATTCTAGCTCTTATACTTTCGGAGATCCTTGCGTTCATACAGACAGACAGACGGACAGACGGACAGACGGACAGACAGACGGACAGACGGACAGACGGACATGGCTATATCGACTCGGCTTGTCATGCTGATCAAGAATATATATACTTTGTGGGGTCTACCAAGCCTCCTTCTGTGTGTTCCATGTGCACTCGCACAAAACTAATATACCCTTGTACCCTTTTGGGTACAGGGTATAAAAATACCACGAAGAAGATATCAAGTAGCAAAAAGGATTTTTGTTGAAGACTTTGGCAAATAATAAAAACTCTGACGTGACGCCAAATGTATAGCATACTTTTTTGGGCAGCCCGCAGACCCGAAGGGAAGACGCTAACTTGAACAGTGCGCAAACAGAAGCAGCAGCAAAATTCACAACAGAAAACTTGAAAACTAAACGGAAGTTCGTGGGGGCTCTGGCCATTGTGGGCTTGCTGGCGGAGCAGCAATTTCAAATTAACAAATAGCAAAGTTTAATTTTAGTCCCAAATTAAAAGAGAAATGCGATGCACTAGCAACAGTTTGCTGCGTAGCGCTTCAAGTCGAAGATTTGGAGGACAACGATTTAATCTTTTAAAAGCTTATAAAGTACCGAAGAAGGGTGTGGCGCACCCACAAAACCGGCAACAATAAGTGTAACAACAATTGAACACCTTGACGTGGTATTCTACACTTACAGAAATAGGAGTATTGTAGAGGAATTTTACAAACTGAATAAAATATAATAGTATATAAAATACACTTCAATTTGATATAAACAAAGTAGTTTTTCTAAATTACGACCTTTTCAACACTTATCCAAAAAAGTGACGAAAACTATGCATATTGAAAAACAGACTTTGTTATTTCTCAAAATGCTTAGTTGGTTGAAATTGGTAAACGTTAACCTCTATATCAGAATATCTAATTAGGTTAAATAAGTTTACAAAATGTTTACCTATTTCATTTGTTTATCTAAATTGAAGTAAGTTAATTTTTTAAGTGCAAAGATGTCGCAGCGCGTGCCGTCTTTCCTTTATATTATTAGCCCAATTTGGCAAGCACTTTTAAAAACATTTTACACAAGGCGTGTGCCCATTAACTCCATTAAGCTGATTACGATTCGGTGGAAAACGGAAACCAGAGACGTACTGAGAAGGAACGAGCCCCAAAACTAAGTCAAATTGTTGCTTCCGCTTTTGGCAAACACAAAATATAAATTACAAAAGTTATGCCTTTATATTCAAAATTGAATTTCCGCAGGTTTTTGTTAGTAACTTTAAATAATACAAACTAATAATAACAAAGCAAATGATAATTTGTGACAGGATGCGATGCGGTATGCGTATCTGTGTATAAAACAATAACAACAACAACAACAACATGAAAAGCAAGCAATGAAAATTTATGCATGCCTATAAATTAAAATCCGAACCAAAATTTAATTGGCGCTCATTTAAAATGAAAATTTATTGGGTGTGTGATATTAATGTTAATTTTATGTAAATACTTAGAACAAAAGTACTTTTGCATTTTAAATTTATTTAAGTTACCTTTTTTTAATTTGAACTATTATATATTTTGCTCTAAATACACCGATTTTTTATTATTATTGCTCACACATTTTACATCGATTCGAAAATATTGAAAACAATCAGTTGGCAAATAAATTGAACATTTTGATTGATTTTGCTGGTTATTTTAGAAAGCAAAACATTACGTAATCTAGAAACATAAACAACAAATAAAATCCCATTAATTATTTTCTTATGTTTCAAAATGTAACGAATGTTAAAAAAAAAACAAATTTAAATCAATGAGATTAAATATTTGGGAACACAAGAATTGATGTTTCTGATGAGCGAATTAAATAAATAGCTTAATAACTTACCACAGAAGCCAGAACCTGTTATAAATAGAAGTTAAACAATAGAAAAACAGGCAGCTAAATTATTTACTTGTAGGGTTCTCTGTACATAGGCGTTTCCCCATTTGCAACCAGTTTTTGTCAACCATTGTCACTTGTTGCTAAGCACTTCAAATGCTTATAAGCTACTTAATAAAAAAGGCATCTATTGCTCTCTCGACTCATCTACAAATCTAAAATTGTGATTGATTTTGCTTCTTGTAAACAAAATTATTCATGTGACTTCATGCAATGGAGGCATACTTGTACAGAAGAGGAGAGCAAGAAATTTCATCAACACATCAGATGAGTATGTGAGCTGTGATATGCATAGAAAATCAATATCCTTTACTGCGGTATTCTTCAAGGTTATTGGACTGAGAACATATCCAACGCAGTCATAAAAAATCGACTTAGCCATAACCGTGCTCAATATTTTATGTATGTCGTATGCTGTAGATGCGCATTTAATCAAATTCGCACAATTGCAAAATCAAAACTGATATTCATCATTCATGAATGTCAAAGTAGGACGACAATGGCGTCGAATCGAGGCGGGAAAAGCAGAACAACAAAAAGGACACTGACTGACTGACGAGGGCGCCAAGGAAAACGCTTTGTGACTTTGTTACGCTCCCAGCCCTGACAACAATAAAAACTTTGCTTTATTACCTACTTACAAGCACACACAGCATTACGAACCGGAGGGCAGGGTTTGAGGTCGGGGGTGGTGTGCTGTTGGAGGTGCTGGTCTGAACAAAAACGACTGACTGACTGACTAAATATTTATGCAGGATGGAGGAACCGTGGCAAGATTGATGCTGGCCAAACGGCACGAAAATCGTTGAAGACATTTCACTGAGACACAATTTTTTTATTATTATTATTTTCTTTTGCTCTCAACACATTATGTACTTGCAGCTGCCACACAGCATTATGGGCGAGGAGCTGGCGTTTATCTTTGGTGCGCCACTTGCGCCTGCGGGTCCGTTTTCCAGCCACAACTACAGCGTGCAGGAAAAGCTGCTATCCGAAGCGGTAATGGCATATTGGACGAATTTCGTGAAAACTGGGTAAGTGAGCGAATATGCCGACGAAAGCCGACGGCATCGTGTCGGCCTGATGGGCGGAAGTGCAGTCAAAAGCGGATATAAAAGTGCATTTGGAGAAAGTTAAGGCTGCGACTGCTGTCGGCCGCTACTCCTCATACTATTGCATCTCCATCTGCATCTCCTGGTGTGGAGCCGTTTCGCATGCAAAGTGTTGCACTCACACACTCGCAAACACATACACACAAAGACTTAAGCCGCTGCTGGCTTACTCGTAATACCACATTAGAGATGGGAGATGGGGAAGATGGGGAAAAAGAAGACTAGGACTAGAATTTGAAAAAGTTTAACAGCTTTGAAAACAACTCAGCTTGATCAAATAAGTTTTAAAATATGTAAATTTCTTCTTGTTGTGGGGGCATCATTTTTTAAAACTACATGTAAAACTTTTTAAATTGCATTTTGTTTTTCAATATGGGTTCTTTATAAAAGAATTGCAATGAATTAAAATGACCTTATTTTTTTAATCAACTTGTCTAGCATTTGTCTTTTTAATAACGAATTTGCTGAAGAACTATGTATTGAATTGAAAAGCGGCAATTTTTGGGACTAATTTAATTTTTCGGTGTTTTTTTTTTTTCAAATTATTTATTTATTAAATAAGTACGTCCATATCGAATAGCTACAATTAATTATGTTAAAAAGACAAGAAATTTGAACAAATTTAATAAATGACGTATGATACAACAAACATTTCAATTTACTAAAAATTCATCTCGCAGTAAATTATTCATCAAGTTTAGACTCAAAACAATTTAATAAAATTAAATTTATCACCTTTGCCGCACCTATGAGCACGTCCCAGGCACATCCCTAAGAGATTTTTAAACCGCTTCGTTGTATGAGTGTATCTGTATCTGTGTGTGTGTGTGTGCGTGTATGCGCGAAAGATTTCATGACGCTTTCCTCGTGCCGTCGCCGTTAGATTGCGGCACGTTTTGCAATCTGCAACGCTTGGACAGTAAAATGAATAGAATTTTTACTGCGCTTTTTATTATTATTCTGCTGTAGCCGCAATAATAGCAACAACAGCCAGCTTAGACATAGCCATAACCATTACAAAAACAAAAACAACCATAGCAACAACAACAGTAGTCGAGCTATCAGCAACAACAAATATTATTATTTGAAGCAACTGCCTGCCCATGCTTTAGAAAAATGGCAATCAAAACTGAAATCAGAGATCGTTAGCAGACATTTTGGCATTGGTTTGCATGTCAGGTCCCTCCCTTCCTCCCGCCATTCTCCTTTCGGCTATTTGCGTCCTCTGGCGAGGCTTATGTCTGCGGTTATTAGGTTTTTTAGCCTTGGCATTTAATGAGCAAATGAATGGCACATTGGCCAATGATGGCAACCACTGGCAGTGCCACTGCCATGGCAGCCTGGCAGTGGCAATTGCAGCTCTGTGATTGCATTTCGTGTGCACTCCTAATGCGGCTTATGCTTATGCAAAGGAAATGAGATTGAATGGAGCGAAGAGGCAAAAACTCATAAAGCGAGACATTAGTCAAAGCGACGACAAAGTTGACGCCATGAATAGCGTAGGTTGCAGGATTGTTGAATGGAAGCCAACTAGAAGACAATCTCATTGATGTGACTTTTCGCATCAATTCAATGGGAAGAATAATAATTGCACTTCAAGATGGATTCACAGACTCACAGAATGATGAATTGAAATTAAAAAACTATGAGACGTGATGAATGCCAATTTGGTGAGGTCAGAAAATTTTGAATACAAAGAAGAAAAATGAAGTGAACTAAGGAAAGCTGCAATTTTCAAAAATGTGGTATACAATGAAATATTAGTAGATGAAGGCAAATAATGTACTATAAATTATCATCTCGACAAAACATATTTGCTTAATGTGTTTTTTTATCAGGAAATATTTTTACAAAATAATTCGAACCCGCTTTTTGGATTGACGTTTCAATATGTTATTAAATTTTATTTGTAAAATACATTTTTAAGCTAGTTATAATAAAAAATTAATTGAATTTAATGATTTAAAATATCCAACGTTTATTGGTTATTCTTTTACGAACCATCGCATTACACTCAAAAGAAGATTGCTTGCAATTATCATGCTCATAATAGGAACATTATACGTATATTTTAACTAAATGCATTCTAGTCCATATTGATTATTGTCTTCTTTTCTGAGTTTATTGATAAGAATGGAGAGGATTTGAGAATTACTTCTTATTTGATAAACTAAAGTTTTGAAAGCAACCTCTCTCTACATATTTATTATGTTTATATTCTGATTGTTACCGAAAGTAATGAGATGCACCCAATATATTAGCTGTAAGGGCTGCACGTCTATATTATATTGTAAAGAATTTTTCGTCATATTAAATATTTGTCTCCTAATCCTTTTAACCACTTAACTTTTCAGCAATCCGAAAGCGCCTTGGCAGGGCACCTTCATTAATTCGCATGCCTTAGAATGGGACCGATATGACTTGGATTGGCCGGAATTCAATAAGCGAGGACAGGCCTATTTGAATATAGGTAAATACCACTCTCACACTCATCACACACACACAAACACACATACACACTCATCACACACACACACATACACACACACACACATATTCCTTTCTTTTTGCCAACACACATTTGACGGCATTCCAAAACGAAATTGTTCACACGTTTCTCAATCGGGAATTATTCGCAGGCATACCACCGACTGTTGGCTACAAATACCGGCAAATTTACATGAATTTCTGGAACAAAGAGCTACCGGACGAGCTAAATCAAATTGCGGCCATACAGGAGCAGCATCAGCAGCCATTTCTGAAGCACCGCACAGGCTCTGGCCCGCTGACCACAAACGTTGACGGGACTTTCTCCACGTTTCCGTCAAAGCCAACAGGTCAGCGATTGGGCCTCGGCGGAAGTGAGGTGATTACGGGTCATATGAGCAAATACGGCACACGTGACAATGGCGCCGAGGATCCGGTGCGAACGCTCAAATTGCTGCTGCAAGATCCGTTGGCAGGGGGGGACGGGGAGCTCACACCAGTCGCCGCCGAGAATATGTACAATGCCCCGCCCACCTTTGGACACGTCAACAAACAGCATCAGCAGCAAGAGGGAACGACAAGCAGCGATGTGGAACAGCAATCGCAGGCAGCTGTTGACGATTCGGTGGGCAATGGAGAGAATGGTGGTGCCACGGGCTCCGATCCAGTGGCCAAATCAGAGACCACCTTGCAATTACTCATTGCACTAATTGCGGTCTTCATTGTTTTAAATCTCGTCATCTATGCCACATTTCTGCTGCAGAAGCGACGCAAGCGCGTCACCTCCCTTCAGCGGAAGTTGGGAGGCATTTTAAGCTACGATGGCGCCACCGATGATGAGTTAAAGCGCACGGCGAGCAAGTCACACGATGGCGACGATAGCTATATACTCGATATGGTCCGTAAGACCAACACCTATGAGGCCATAAAGACGGCGCAGCGCTCGCCCATAAATGGTTATGGTATCACCAGGCAGCTGAGCAGCTCCACTGTGGACACCCACACGAAGGTCTGTGAGTGGATGTCAGGACATGGCCTTGGCGGCCATACTCTGCCCAAATCCTCATCGCCCGCCTTCAGTTCGCTCTCTGGCAGCTTTGCCTCGAAGCCAGCGCATGGACAGCCCTCGCAGGTCAGTGTGGCCATAGATTCCACGCCACAGGCACGTTCTGGCAGCATTCTGGAGCAGGAGCCCATTGAGCTGACCAAGTTGAAGTGTCTCGATGGACGCATCATCATTTGCCAGGACATTGAAGTGACAGATGCCGACCTCCTCACGCCCCAGCACATGCACGAGAGCGAGCATAATTTCCACTATGAACTGCTCCTTCAACGGCAGAACTCAGCGCTGACCGAGCCCAGTGATGTGCCACTGCCCCCGCAATATCAGCATCAACATTCTCGCTCTGATCCTGTAGACATGATATTGAATCAACATCTAACTGCCGATGAGCAGGTCACCAGTTTCGTGCACGCCGATGATGTGGACATCAATGTGACAAGCCGCGACGATTCGAAAATAGAACAAGTCCTGCCTTTGACAGCGGCCCAGCAGCTCGAGCTGCTTCGACAGCGCAACTATCCAAAAGTTCTGCCCACAACCACCTCAAGTGGCGCCCAACGCGACAGCGACTCGCCGCCCATGACCATTGATTTGAGTCGCAGCTATAAACGCAACTCCTTGCCACCACAAAGCTACAGTTTTGGAGCGCCACTGCCGCCCCCGAGGAGCGTCAGCAGCACTCTGGGTCGCCAGACGTCACGCAGACGCGATAGCAGTAATATAACGACCTCGCCACTAATGCTCGCCCAGGATTGCGGTGAGGATGACGGCAGTGGGGAGGTGAAAATAACAGAGAACACTCTAATCGTGGGACCCATTGTGCCCAAGTCCCCCAAATCAACAAAGGCGCCGAAGACGCCGACAATGCGAGCGGAGCCTGTGCCGTCAACACTAAGTCAGCCCGCAGCTGGTGGCAAGCTTAGTGGTTCCTTTCAATCGTTTGAATCGGTACCACCGCCCCACGAAGCAACGCCTCCGCATATGTTGCCAGGAACAGCGCAGCGTACCGAACGCATCTATGCCATACAACCAACAACAACAGCAGCAACAATGCCAGCAGTAACGCCAACCACGCCCACAACGCCCAACTGGCCAGCGCCAAATGGGGCTCTCTATGCACAGCCCCAGAAATCTGCCTCGAAGACGTCGCTCATACCCAAAATGCTACCGCAAGCGGGCAGGGAAAGGGACGCTCAGGCAGGGGGAGAAGTGACAGAAACAACAGCGACTGCAGCTGACAAAGCTGAGGCAGCAGGGGCAGCAGAGGCAGCAGCAACAGCAGAGGAAGAAGCAGAAGTAGAGGCAAGAGTTACAGCGGCAGCTGTGTGTCTGCCACAGACACGAATACCGCAGCTGCAGCGCAATTCAATGGAGACAGCCAAGGATAAGGGTACGACTGCAGCCGCAGCAACCACCATAGCAACAGCAATAGAAACAACAACACCAAAAACGAATGCCGCACGCAGCGTCTCCGCAATATCAGGCGGTTCCACATCATCTTGGTGCTCCTCAAATTCAAGCTCCCATTGCTCCTCCACAGCTTCCACGTCGTCCTCCTCTTCGACGGGGACGGTGCGCACCGAACTGCAACAAAGTCAACACCAGCCAAGCAAAAGTATTACAACTAATATATAAGTCAGCCAGCCAGCAACAACAACAGCAGGGAACGAAGAAACAATGCTACTTTCACCATGGCAAAGACTTAATACCCTAACCGACTTTTGATAAGCGCGTAAGTGTTGTTTCCATGTACATTAACTCATTTGTAAACAATAAAAATCAGTAATTATATAGTTGCGTAACTGAAATATAAGTTTTTAGCATAAGATCCTTTCTGATTCAGAATTTTGGTATAAGCTATAGTTAATATATTATACATTCTTCTAATTGATATTTACAAATACCTATACTTGATGTAGTTCTTAAGGTAACAAGGTGTTTTTCATAGCTAGAAAGAAGTGTATTTTAAGTAAAAGTATTTGTCGAGCAATTAAATAAAGATATCTTATTTATCCGATCATTTTGAGTATCAATAAAACATATCAATATACCAAGAACGCGGTTGCAGTTAGTTGCAATATTAATATTAATCACCAATGATATATTCAAAAATAATCCGTTCCCTTTTTCAAATACCAACAATTAGAACCCATACAGAATTTGATAGCAATCGGTTATAGTTTTAAGGTAAATTTAATTAAAAGAATGTGTTTGCTTTTTTGCGCCGCTGAATAACAAGTTTATGATGTCAAGCTTTCTTCAAAAGTTTTTTGATTTATTTTTACTTAAATAAAGGGATAAAGCATTATTTGGACAAATGCCAACCTCTGAACTTTCATTAAAAATGTTCTTGCTATTACTGAGCAATTACACTCTCTATAAAATTAAATTCGCCTTACATCCGTAAAGATTTGAATCATCTCTTCATACAACAAACATTGTATTCATTTAATATTCAACAAGATTTTGATGCACATGAATATACTTGTATGTGTTTGAAACCGATTCGAAAGTTCCAAATATTGAAATACGGCTCTGACAAGTTGTCTGGCAAAATAATTGAACCTCTGTCTAGTGTATTTTGATAACCACTTCAATTTAACGCCATCAGAGAGCGATAGCGCTTCGTCAACAACGCATCCATAGCGGGTTTCCTCCTTTGGCTTATGCGGCAATGGCAGCCGTCCTGCTGTGCCACATCGCCGCACAAGTCCTGCCCAGCACGGCTGCCTGCCAAAACCTTTTCCATGCTTGACGCATTTTGTGCGCAGTAAGGAAGAATTGGCAGGAGCAAGGTGGGGTTTCATCCATGGGAAATGCTTTTACGCATAGCCTGTCTGAATTTTATAGTGTTTGGGAAAATTTAATAATAAATTCTCATGGAAAGTTTATCTTAGACTTGGCGGTGGGTGATGTTGGCGGTCGGCTCTGGAGCTGACGCTGTCTTAGCGGGCGACAGGACTTGTGGCCGCTAGCACTAAGAAAGGACAACACTTCGTTTGCCTCAAGTTTGCAATGTCAAAATTAGTTACAAGTTTTGCAGGAATTTCCATCAAAGTGCATAGACCATCTAGCGCTAAAAACGGTTTCAAAATGCTGGAATCAATTCAAAAAAGAGGCATACATTATCCATAAGCTACCGAATACCTAATGTAACAAAAAGTTGCTTGTAAAGTTAACAGCAAGTTTTCCGAGAGAAAGCAATAACACCACTTAAAAATTAAGCTGCTCGATAGCTTACATGAGAAAATAACAACTTCGTTGATAATAGCAATTAATTCTTAGTCGATGTATGAAATATTCAACAACCAAATAAATAAGATTGTGAATAAAACTATTAGCAAGCAAACTACTTTTTACACTAAATGCTATTCAAGTATACTTGTATAATTACATTAAAAACAGGCGTCAAAAATTGTTATTCGTTTGTACAATTTTGAAAACCAATAACTTACACATTCAATCAAATAATTTAAAATCGAACTACAAGTATATATAACATAATAGTAGTAATTTAGAATCTAAGTAAACATTTTTGATTTGAGAAAAATATAAACCGTAAATAAAACAAATGCAGCGGTAGGTGAAGATATCAGCAAACGCATTTTAATTTTGAATTCGAAATCCAACATGGAGTAATTCCTAAGGGTATTCATACTAATTATTAACTTTTGTTTTGAAAAAGATGCCATTGTATTATAAAGAATTAAAAGTTGAACCTGATATTGTTACCATTAATACTTGTGTAATGATTTAATGAATTATAATTAACCTTGTTTCTGAGATCGACACAGCTGGTGATTGTTTAAAGATGTCCTAACGAGCCGATGCTGTAGCATTGGAATCCGATATATTTCTAAACAATCCTTTTCGTTAAATTTTGAATTCCATCTTGATTTAATATCAAATCATATTTGGCAGGTTCTGAATCATTTTTAAGTATTTTTACAGCGAATGTTTACATAAAACCTATAAAGATTTGAAAAAGAATTCTTTCCAATCGACTCTGCAAATTAATTAACATCGGTGCTGAATTGTACACCATTCATTCATCCATTATATTATTCCACTTACTTTTTTACAGCGTCTGTAAGAAGTGTTTTTCTCATACTGCCAAGGCAGATAATCTTGTTTAATAAATGTCATTAAAACCATTTACTTACTACTTTCGCTTACGTCTAGATGGAGACTTGCTATGTCATGGTTGCTCCGTTAATCACAACAAATAATTTTTAGTTGCATTCTATATCACTATTTCTGAGCACTCTTTGTAACTAGATTTGCAGAGGCAATGAATAGCTCTCTTCTTTCAGACGTTAATATGCTGGCACACACTTACTTGTAGGACCCCCAGTACAATGCCAGGCCTTTCCCCTAAACAAGTCGTGCTGCTGGAAATGCTCAATTGGACCATAAATGCAATCTTCCAACTATTGTGCCATCAATTTCATGACAAAAGCTTCTTTATTCTTTGCATAGATGAAGCCCGCAGCGGAGGGAACTGACAAAATACAAAATACCAGCAATAGCAACAACAACAGCAACAAAAAGAGATGTTGGAGTGAAAGCCAAAACCAATTTTGTGGCGCTGCCAACTTAATTTACAACGAATTTCTGAAACTATTGCACACAACCAGGGAAAACGTCAACATTTGTGTAGCTAAAAAATTTTCAAATATTTGTATTGACACGCCCCCGTCCGCCCGTACGCAGCGCACTCCATAAAGCCCGCCCACATCAAACTTGTCTTCGCCTTTGTCACCACAAAATAGTTGCTCACAACATTTTGCCGCTTAACTCTCTGCTCCATTCTTTGGATTTCTAGTGTGCCCTGCGAAAGTTTTTAGCCTTTATGCTCCCCCAGCGTGGCCACATCGTCCTTTAGTGCATCATTACTTTTTGGCTTTTGCTACGAATTGAGTTATTGAGGCAGTTGAGCAATTTTTCCCATTGCGCCCTTTTATGTAAATGGCTTTCAAACAGATTTAGTCAACTTGACTTTGTTTCCACTACAGTTTCTATATGTTTTTTCACAGCCAGGTTGTCAAAGTTGGGCACAAAGTGAAAAACTTTTGGTCACTGCTGAGCTCACTCGTTGAGGGAACGTGAGAAAGTTGGAAGAAAGTGAAAACAAACTGTAAAATTATAAATCCTTGCCGCACTTGCGTAGGCTCTGGACAAACAGCAATATTACGGGTGTGTAACAAACAGAACAGGAGAAATGTACCCGGCCCGGACTTGTAATTAAATTTTCCACTCAACAGAGACTTAACAGGACGAGTGCAAGCAAGGTGTGCACCATTGCTTTCCTCAATGAATGTACGAGTATAGTAGTGCCTCCTACAAGGATGTTTACTTACGTTCTCGTGTAAACATTTGTTTTGCTAATTTCATAAAGTAACTTGAGACCTTTGGAGGAGTTCATTACGCGACGCTGTTGGCGCTTCATTAAGATCAAAAGTTTGTTCCAGGCACAGGCCAAAAGTAATTGCGTCGCGACACATACAAACACAGATATATACTGTAAATGTATATATATTTTCTATATGCGATGTACAAATGTGGAAACAAACATATTTTCTTGGACTGTGTACACAACATGTTATCAGCTCGGCTGATCAAAATGAAGCACATAAATTCCGATAATGGTCGCATGAGCCCAAAACAAAATTGATATGAATGTGGCGGCAGCTTCTGTCCTGTTTTCTTCTGTTCTGGACATGGAAAAGTTGGTAAGTTGGAGAGTTGGAAAGTTGGTATGTGGTGTGCCATTGGCCTTGACAGGCTCTGGCGCAAAAGTGTCGACAACTTTGACATTTATTTTCACTTCGGAGCAAGGAAATGAGTTGCGAAAACAAGAACGCAAATATAAGCGGATGAACGAATTCATATGTTTGCAATAATACACATATCCATAGTATGTGAATCGACATTCTTATTTGATCTGCTGCTGGTAATTACCCTGCATTGGAAAATGCCCAAGATGGGCTTCATAACTTTCCCTCATGTGGATTACTTTAATATTTGACTTGAGAAGAACAACATTTCCTTCTCATGTGGAAGTTAAAATTGAGAGTGTGTGGAGAGGGCAAAGTTCTGAAGCGCTAAATTGAAGTTTTGTTTACTTTAAGGCAAAACAAATTGAAAACTGCTTATGTAATATCTTTGACAGTTGTTCGTCCATATTGTTGACAACCCGTGAGCTGCTTACACAAGCCGTTTGTTTATCAACCTGCCAAGCTGTCAAGGTAAATATTAAATGTGGCAAGTTTGCCAGCACGAAGAAATAAACGACTTTCGGCGCGTTTGGGTTGAATATGTAACATACTCTTTAATAATGCATGAAAATATTGTCAGTAAATGCGTGCAAAAGCGAAAATGTAACACTTCTCTTTAATCAAAAATTCATGAGAATTTCAGTCGATTATCCCACATAGTCTACAAAAATATTTGTACAGGCAAAGATTTACAGGACTTCATCTGTTTGATTATTCTTTAACGACATCTTGAAGAAAAAGCTTCAACTTGATAGATAAATAATGATGCAATAAAATATACATATAAATAATTAAATTGAGGATAAGAGTTTGTTTCTATTCAGTTGGACATATTTGAAAGAAAAATATAACAAAATTATTCAAGTTGGCAAATGGAAAGTAGATAATCGTTTATAGAAAGAGAGGCGTAACAAAAATATTAGGTTGGCATTTGGCAGGTATAAAGAAAGTAATTATCTCAGTAAAATACAAACAACAAAATACTTATTAGTTAATGCCAAAAAGCGAAAATTGTTGCCTGAAGCAACAACTTGTTGTTACGAT